TTATGTTAATCCAAAGGACAAACAATGAGAGATGTATGCAACAAACATACATTGTTTGTACCTAAATAACTAAAATATAGATGAGAGCATGTCATTGTTTTGTTCCTGTTAACATTGTCATTGATATTTTTCAAGAAAGTCTATGAGGCATAGCTTATGCATTCCTGTCGTTACTACATTAGCATAATTACTGCTAAAATAATTCTCAGTATGATATACCTCTTGTAAGAAATCATTATAATTGTAGCAAGCACCAAAAAATCTCAAACAGATCACATTGAATCGTAATCCAAAAAATTATGACGTCTTGAATTAGCCACCCCCTTTTATTCTAAAACGATAATTGCGGTTGTAAACAGACTTTGGTTTATTCGCATGGCGATTACATATATAACTATATATTTTAAAAAGAAAATAGAGTTTTACCATGAATAGTTTCCTGCACGTAGAGTCGTAGTCTTTTTCAGTAAAATCTGCCTTGCAAACAACAGCTGATTGAGATGGACTCATCGTGTTCTCGTCCAATCTGCGTATGGGCCATGGCGTTGATCCAACTTTTCCTTCTTTTTTAAGTCATTTGGAAATGCATGTCCTCCTCTTAAATGACATCCAGGTACACAACAACAAGTACTTGGCATCGTTAATTAAAAATGCAACTGTAATAGTTGCACAGTGCAGAAACCGGAAGTTGAAGAACAGGATCGGCTACCACGGCGCCACCTATTCACGAACGATAATTTGCTACTATAACTGCGAAATAACAATAACGTTAGACGGGTTCGCGTGCATAAACAGAAATGCGCTTTAAATTGTATAATATAATTCATGTTCAGTCGACCTTTAATTATTATATCAACGACTGAAATGACTTATAAACATCTAGTTTGCAGATAACACTCGAAATTAACCCGACCTCTTTCCACACGGAATTCAAGTAATTCTAGTTTGTCAATCGGTTGACTGCTTATAATGTAAAATACAAATATATCAAAAGTTTTTAAAACTAACAAAACACAATGATCGTTTCTCTATTTTTCCAATGTAAATGAAATGAAACAAAAAACATTTTATATCACAATAAGAAGAGGAGAGAATCAACATTTTCCGGATCTACTTGGAGCCTAATAGCCCCCCACGTAGATAAGTTGGATATCGCGGAAAGAAAGATTAACACGGCAACTAGAAAGGCATTAAAGCACTGCCTTTAAAAATGAATTGACAGCTAATCACCTCAAGACAATACAAAACTTCTTTATACATAATTTAAAAGCAGTGTAAGGGAGGTAATTCAAAGTAGTTTTTGAATTACCTCCCTTACACTGTAATTTGTACTCCATTAACCAGGACACCCTTGTTTTTTCTCACTTTTTTGCCCCTAATTCCTAAACGGTTTGAGCCATAACCCCCAAAGCCAATCCTAACCATCCTTTTGTGGTATGGAAACTTGTGGTATAATTTCAGAGAGATCCATACACTGTTCCACAAGTTATTGTCATGAAACTAGAAAAATGAATATTTGGGCCCCTTTTTGGATCCTAATTCCAAAACTGTTGGGACCATAACCCCCAAAATCAATCCCAACCGTCCTTTTGTGGTTATAAATCTTATGTTTAAATTTCATAGAGATCCATTCACTTAAACTAAAGTTATTGTGCGAAAACCAATGTGTCTTCGAACGACGATGACGATGACGCCATACCAATATATGACCGCATAATTTTATTGCGGTCTTATAAAAATTGAGGTATGTGAAGATTCAGGTTCCATTTATATTAAAAACAGAAAAAATTTCAATATAAGAAATTCTTAAAGGACTCCATAGAACCCTGTGTCTTTCCTGTTATTGCTGATATCAATGTAAAAGTGTTACGTTGATTGCCAAAACTAAGTCCAAACTAAGTCCATTTATTAGTTAAATACAGAAAAATAGATAACAATATTTTCTAAATTTAGTTTTCAATTGGATAAAGTCCTATGACCATGAAGAATTTTCTTTTCAAGTTTTGTAAAATTCCATGAAGGGTTGATAGAGATAAGAAGATGTGGTATGAGTGCAAATGAGACAACTCTCCATCCAAGTCACAATTTGTAAAAGTAAACCATTTTAGGTCAAAATATGGCCTTCAACACGGAGCCTTAGCTCACACCCAACAGCAAGCTATAAAGGGCCCCAAAAATTACTAGTGTAAAACCATTCAAACAGGAAAACCAACGGTCTAATCTATATAAACTAGAGGCTCCCAAGAGCCTGCTTCGCTCACCTGTATCTACTGTTGTTTTCGAAATCATGTAAAATAAGGTTAAAATCATAATTAATAGTATTAGATACCCTAATAATGATTGAAGCCAACACATCCCAGGGATTTGGTGTTTTAACGTCATGAACAGTCAAAGAAGACATGACTTGTGAAATGCCAAAATAAAAGTAACGACAGACAGTAGGATAGTTAAGAGTTAAACTTTTAATAAATATGTATAATGTTATATATAGATAAGTAATCTCTATATAGAAAATGAACGTGGATGTGTATTCATACATCCATAAAAAATGTTTGAAAAGAATACAAATTTAGTTTTGTTTTAATTTGCTGATGACAAAATCGATATTTGTGCCAATGTGAACTATATTCAAAGATCAAATTACAACATTGGTAAGATAACCTTTAATAATAAGTTTGTTTAAAGGTTAGATGAGTTTACACGGATAACAGAGTTATTTCCCCGTTTTTAGTACAATATTACAGTTAAATTTAGGATGTGAAATTCCGTTTTTTAATAAGTTTTCTACAGGTACAGCCAAATTTACTAATCAAATCTTTGTATCTATGAAAGAATTTAGTAAAAGTTTTAAGTAATTTATGGTAGCGAAATCCCTGAATTAATAATTTACCAGTGATGCACTGATTACATTCGTTAAAATCTATGACATACTACACACACGGGCATAACAAACAAGTTGGGATATATAAACACCATATGATGGAGCCAAAGGAACATTGCCGTCTAAAAAAGGAAAAATTAACAATCATGACAATAGGCAATGAAAAATCGTCTCTTTTGTCATAAATTTTAGTATGGAGTTTCCCTTTAGAAATTGAAATGTCCAAATCTAGAAAAGGACAATTACTGCAGCTGTTTATGTTAGATTTATTTAGAGTAAGTTCCTTTGGGTAAATTTCGGTAGTATATTTAGAGAATTCTGGATTATTTAACAAAAAAATATCATAGGTATTGTTGAATGTATCAACCAAATGTAACAATGACATGTCTTTACTGAGTTTGGTCATAAACAATACAGGAATAAATCTGCCATTAAAGGGGTGCAGTTCGTGCCCATAGGAAAAACAACTACCTATAGATACACTTTATCGCCGAAACTTACATATATGTTGTCCAGGAGAAAATTTAAAGCTTCAATCATATCTTCACATTTCCAGTGAGTGTATCTAGCAAACTTTCCTTTTTCGTTACAGCAAATAAATTTACAATGACATTTTTCAAAAGACCATTTAATTAAATATGAAAACATTTTCTTGATAAGATTGTGTGAAAGTGTAGTGTAGAGAGTAGAAAAATCATAACTGTCAACAGAATTAAAAGGACCATCAAAAGCACATATTTTATCTAAAACCTCTAAAGAATTTTTAACACTCCAAAAATAATTAATACCATTATTTTCATAAGCTTTATAACAAAAGTTAATAAGTTCTTTGATAGTAGAAAGGAAGGTAGTTAGAAGCACTGAAAATTAGTAGTAGAACACATACTAGATGCAGAGATGAAACAGAATTTAAATGGTTGTGTGTGTAATCTAGGTAACCAGTACATAGTAGGGACTTTCAAATGTTCGGAAGAGGCTTTAAGCTAGGTAAGGCAGTGATATGCTTGTTTACAATTTGACTCTCTGGGGAGCGTATGGACCTGAATGTAGAAGAATTGATAATTTCATTTCGGAGAACTTCTGTGTAGTATATGCTTCATACCACCACTACATTATTGGCTGCTTTGTCTGCCGGTACGAACACAAACCGCTTTTGCAAGTACTTGGAGTTTATTTTTTATTCTAGAAATGGGTATATGATGGACCCTATTATTAATTTCAGAATTGTTTTCAAAATGAGGTATACGAATATCAACAGTATTCATAATTTTATTCAAATAACTGTCTAGAGATTTTTTTATCAAATTTGTCACGTTTACAACAATTTTTACAGTAGGCAGACAGAGCGTCTTTAATGACCTGGCGACACTGTTTCCAATCTAATATACATGTAGATGGAGGATGATATTTGGGTCCTTTCTTAACAAAAGTTTTGACCTCACGGTCTTCGACGATACTGAGGTCTCCTGTAACGACATGACCATAGGGAACATATCTAAAACTAGATGTTTCACAGTCTCAAGTGGAAGGAGCATTATTTTCTGAATTGACATCTGATATAACAGACGTATAATTAAATGTGATGTCTGAAAAACTTCAACCATAGAGTGAATCCAAATGTTGATGCTGCCACCAGAATATAGGATCTCTTTGTTTCACTGCTTGACAAAAAGGGATCTTTCTTCCAAATATTCAATTATTCAGCACAAGTATCAAGTTAAATTTACTGACGTTTCCCACTTTTAAAGGCACTGTCAGTAAACAGAACCCATATCAAAGAATGACAACCATTTTCACATGTTATGATAGAATTATTTATCCATGAATCTCCTGGCATGGTGGTTGCATTGGCTTGAATTATTTCTCTTATAATGCAATAAAGATTTAAGCAAAAATTGGAAAGAAATGGCTGAAATTATGTTGGGGGACCCATACAGGTACTCAATATATTTTTGCATATTCAGTAGATTCATCAGCATGCCAAAAGTTATAATGTTATAGGACAAATTAAATTACTGCAAGATGACCTTCTATGAAGTTTGATGTCGATCAACATCAATCTCATTCTTCAGTCACATTTTCTAAAATGTGATGAACATTTCTTCATTATCATTAGCACTTACTGAAATGTTAAATGCATCTCTTCTTTTAGGTGCTCAATCTCATATTGTTTTCCATCATCTCCATATTCAGGGAGTAAAGCTTGACAAAGTGCAGTACCTTCATCTCCGCTCACTGAAAGCTGATATTCTTTAAATAAATATGCAACAGCTATGGCATTTAACATTATTTTCTTCCTGTCTTCTTTACAAAATTCTTTCTTGTTTATAAATTCCTGCCATAATGGTTCAAAACTTTTTGTAAGAGCCTGCAATACATGTATAAAGAACAACTGGTGATTAGAAGATGCTTTATTTGTTCAAAAAAGATGTGTCGTCTGCTGTTTCAGATATTAAGCAGAAATGGCACAGTCCATGTTTTTGTATTGAAAACCCACACAAATCACTGAGATAAAACATTTAAAATAGCAGGTGCACAATTTTATGTTCTGGCTGGAAGAATCTGTGCAAGATTGCATTGGTGAAATTTTATCAAGACATTTTCATTTTTTTAATTTGTAATATTAGACATTATCTGATTATAGTTAAAAACATTAGAAAATAATATTAAAATGCAAAATAATCAATTTTGAGACTTAAAATAATTAGGGTTTACATTTTTACATCGTCAAGTCCGTAGGACATAATTTTAATTTGCTTTTTTGGAAAATCTGGAAAACATTGTTTCAATACAGAAAAAAATTGTGTATTCATGGAGTCCAGTTCCTTTATTATAGAAATATTCAACATTTGCAATTTGTCAACATGAATGTGTTTTTGGTTGTTTTGGTCACGAATTTTGATTAAATAAATTATTCGTTACATCAAACGATTTGTTCCCAAAAGGTTCAAGAAAGGTTTTTGAAGAAATCCTCACAAAACACTATGCGGTAGGATATGAAAGCATGAACACACAATTGTTCTTGGCCTTATTAATGTTCAAGTCCTTCAACGTATTGTAGTCTTTTTCATTTAATGTGCCTATGCACTCACCTACAACAAACTTAACCCGCCATTTGGCCATTGAAATCACTTCAAATGGTTCCAAAGTTACAATTTTGGACCGCAAAAACTAAATATCAAACAGGAAATTAGTGTCTACTGATTTGACAAATTATTGAACATTGAAGGAACAAACCTCAATGATCCTTTTTGTCTGTACGAAACAATCAAACCAGATATAACCTGAAATAGGCTGACCTGGTGAAAATTTGGTGGTCCAGACTGACAAATCTTACGTTTTTTGCAAAGTCTGCTTGCATTCTGATTTCTTATACAGCTTTTCCTAAAATCCAAATAATTATTCTCAAATTTTGGTTGTTCATGTTTTAAAATTGCAATAATAAATGCTCCCAATAATTTCTAAATTTACAGTATACTGGACAAACATACTTCTCTGAATAACTGCATTAAATCTCTCTCCCATATAGCTTTCATGATTGTGCAGTAGTTTTTTTCTAAACTTTGATGAATCAAATTAATTTTCATTATCATTGCTTCACCACAACATCCAGAGGCTGAACTTTTGGCTGTTTGCCAATCAGGCAAAAAAACATTAACCGCCTGGCGAGCATCTTGAGAAAGTTCCTTTCTGTACTGTTTCGCTTCTAGACCAGTGTAACGCAACAAAAAATTAGCCACTCCGTCCTTGACTTCTTGTCCCCTAATAACACCATCATATCTATGCAATTTACCTGAAAGATGAAAATTACATCAACATCTTCAAGTATCAAAGTTGATTCAGCAGTAGCGTTTTTTAATTTATTGGTTTACTGATCCGCCTATCCACTTTTTCGGATTTTCAAAAAAAAAAAAAATATGACATTTCATGCTTTTTTTTATTCCAGCAGACCCCAACAAATACATTATCCCAGAAAAACAAATAAAATATCTGAAATTTTCCTAAATTTATTGCATTATTTAAGCGTGTTAAAACATTATCAGAAATGATTACACATTGTGTTAAAAAAAAATAAAATCTAAATAATCTGTAGTTTTTGAGTTTCTAAAAAGAGACAATCAAAACTGACCTTGAAACTTTGTTTACGCAAATAATTTTGGGGAACGAAACCTCTGTTAAAAACCCATTACAATAAGTTTGTTTTTTATGAAAAAGACTCATCCAAACATGAAAGATTTCAAGTTAAAAGAACGAAGAGTTATCGGCTCAACTGGAGTATAAGGATAATATGTAGTCCTGGTTTATCAATATGTACAAATATACATATACACCAATAAAATTAATACGCATTATTTTTTGCTAATGTTTATATTTGAATCATAATTTGAATATTTTATTACTCATTTATCTTAATAAGTGGACAGAATGACAGGTGGACAAGTTGACAATTTGACATTTCAACAATTTAGAACTGCAAATTTCAGTTGACTGGTCGGCAGGTTGACAGGTTGACAATTTAATAAGATGAAAATACAAGTATAGTTGACAGGTCGACAATTTGGCTAAAATAAAAATATCATCATGGTAGGGAAGTTGAGAGGTCAACAGGTTGACAATTTGATAATAAAATGCTCCGCTGGGGCGCAGCTTGATACAACCGCAGAGGTCGAACCCTGAACAGTTGGGGCAAGTATGGACACAACATTCAAGCTTGATACAGCACTGAATTTGGATTGTGATTAAATATTTGACACAGCATAGGTTTCTGACACAGAATGAATGTGGTCTAAGAACTTAAAAAATTTTAATTTACCTATTCAAACCATTTCATTATTATATTTGCTTTTATATATAAATCAGAAATAACCAATTTAAAATGGAAAAAACTTAATAACAGCCTTCCCTTTGTGGTATGGTACCTTGCAGTACAATTTCAGAGAGTTCCATACACTTGAACACAAGTTATTGTCTGGAAACTAGAAAAATGCTTGTTTTTTTGCCCCTTTTTGGCCCCAAATTCCTATACGTTTAGGGCAATTACCCCCAAACTCAAACCCAGCTTTCCCTTTGTGATATGGAACCTTGTAGTACAATTTCATAAAGATCCATACACTTACACACAAGTTATTGTCCTGAAACTAGAAAAATGCTTGTTTTTTGCCCCTTTTTGGCCCCTAATTCCTAAAATTTTGAGGCAATTACCCCCAAAATCAATCCCAGCCTTCCCTTAGTCGTATGGTACCTTGCAGTACAATTTCAGAGAGATCCATACACTTGAACACAAGTTATTGTCTGGAAACTAGAAAAATGTGTTTTTTGGCCCCTTTTTCGTAAACATTTTGGGCAATTACCCCCAAACTCAATTCCAGCTTTCCCTTTGTGATATGGAACCTTGTAGTACAATTTCAGAAAGATCCATACACTTACACACAAGTTATTGTCATGAAACTAGAAAAATGCTTGCTTTTTGCCCCTTTTTTGGCCCCTTATTCCTATAATTTTTGAGGCAATTACCCCCAAAATCAATCACAGCATTTCCTTTGTGATATGGAACCTTGTGGTACAATGTCAGAGAGATCCATACACTAACACACAAGTTATGTCTGGAAGTTACAAAAATGCTTATTTTTGACCCCTTTTTGGCCCCTAATTCCTTAACTGTTGGTACTATATCCCCCAAAAGCAATCCCAACCTTCCTTTTGTGGTATTGAACCTTATGGTAAAATTTTATAGAGATCCATTTACTTAAACTAAAGTTAGAGTGCGAAAACCAATGTGTCTTCGGACGACAATGATGACGACGCCGACGCCAACGTCATACCAATATACGACCGCAAAATTTTTTTGCGGTCGTATAAAAACAAGAGGCTCTCAAGAGAGCCTGAATCGCTCACCTGTAATATTTTGCTTAAATCTTTCATCAATGATTATTTTTGCTTTTTAATATATATTAATGAGTGGCTTAAAAATTCCATTTAAATGTTCTTCGTTTCTGTCATATTTTCTTCAAAAGCAAAGAAATACATTTTACTCCTATGTTCCATTTTAGCCATAGTGGCTATGTTTCTTGACGTACAAGAAAATAAAATACAAAATTTATACTAGATACTCTGAAGCTCATTCAGCCCAAGTTTGGCTGAAATTAATTCAGCAGTTTCAAAGGAGAAGATTTTTTAAAGTAAGCAAACTAAATGAACAAATTGTGAAAAATTGTCTTTAAAGGGCAATAACTCCTTAAGGACACATTTCACAATTTTGGTCATATTGACTTATTTGTAGATCTTACTTTGCTGAATATTTTTGCTGTTCACAGTTTATCTTTATCATTAATAATATTCAAGATAATAACCAATAAAATGCTCCGCAGGGCGCAGCTTGATAAGACCGCAGAGGTCGAACCCTGAACAGTTGGGGCAAGTATGGACACAACATTCAAGCTTGATACAGCTTTGCATTTGGATTGTGATTAAATATTTGACACAGCATAGGTTTCTGACACAGAATGAATGTGGTCTAAGAACTTAAAAATTCTAAATTGGACATTCACCTATTATGGTCCAATATCCAAAATCTAAATACATGGTTAGATTCAGCATATCAAAGAACCCCAAGAATTCAATTTTTGATGAAATCAAACAAAGTTTAATTTTGGACCCTTTTGACCTCAATGTGGACAAAGTTGATAACGGGGCCCAAAAATCAAAAATCTAAATACATGGTTAGATTCAGCATATCAAAGAACCCCATATATTCAATTTTTGTTGAAATCAAACAAAGTTTAATTTTGGACCCCGATTTGGACCAACTTGAAAACTGGGCCCATAATCAAAAATCTAAATACATGTTTAGATTCAGCATATCAAAGAACCCTAAGAATTCAATATTTGTTAAAATCAAACTAAGTTTAATTTTGGACCCTTTGGACCTTAATGTAGACCAATTTGAAAACGGAACCAAAAATTAAGAATCTAAATACACGGTTAGATTCGGCATATCAAAGAACCCCAATAATTCAATTTTTGATGAAATCAAACAAAGTTTAATTTTGGACCCTTTGGACCTCAATGAGGACAAATTTAAAAACGGGGCCCAAAATCCAACAACTAAATACACGGTTAGATTCAGCATATTAAAGAACCCCGAGAATTCAAGAATAAAACCCCATTGTCATGATTGAAATTGGTCAAGAAATAAGCAATTTATACGAATTATCTTCTTTTGCACAATACTGTGCAATTAAATATTTCTTGCTATAGCGCAATACTGTACAATTGACAATTTCTTGCTATTGCGCTATATTGTGCTATTGGATATTTCTTGCTATTGCGCAATACTGTGCAATTGAAGATTTCTTGCTATTGCGCAATACTGTGCAATTGAAGATTTCTTGCTATTGTGCAATACTGTGCAATTGAAAATTTCTTGCTATTGCACAATACTCATTATATAATAATTTACACATCCTGTTTGGTGTGTATCTCCTACCATATCATTATTATTTGCTTTTAAATATTAATCAGAAATAACCAACTTAAAATGGAAAATTTTAAAAGAAAAAAAAAAGGAAACCCCCCCCCCTACAAATTTTTTGAACCCCCTTATGATTCATCACCCCCAAACTCAATCCCAGCTTTCCCTTTGTGGTATGGTACCTTGCAGTACAATTTCAGAGAGAAGCATACACTTACACACAAGTTATTGTCTGGAAACTAGAAAAATGTGTTTTTTGGCCCCTTTTTGGCCCCAAATTCCTAAACTTTTTAGGCAATTACCCCCAAACTCAAACCCAGCTTTCCCTTTGTGATATGGAACCTTGTAGTACAATTTCAAAAAGATCCATACACTTACACACAAGTTATTGTCATGAAACTAGAAAAATGCTTGTTTTTTGCCCCTTTTTTGGCCCCTAATTCCTAAAATTTTGAGGCAATTACCCCCAAAATCAATCCCAGCATTCCTTTTGTGGTATGGTACCTTGCAGTACAATTTCAGAGAGCTCCATACACTTGAACACAAGTTATTGTCTGGAAGTTACAAAAATGCTTATTTTTGGCCCCTTTTTTGGTCCCCAATTCCTAAACGTTTCCGCAATTAGCCCCAAACTCAATTCCAGCTTTCCCTTTGTGATATGAAACCTTGTAGTACAATTTCAGAAAGATCCATACATTTACACACAAGTTATTGTCATGAAACTAGAAAAATGCTTGTTTTTTGCCCCTTTTTTGGCCCCTAATTCCTAAAATTTTGAGGCAATTACCCCCAAAATCAATCCCAGCATTCCTTTTGTGATATGGAACCTTGTGGTACAATGTCAGAGAGATCCATACACTAACACACAAGTTATGTCTGGAAGTTACAAAAATGCTTATTTTTGGCCCCTTTTTGGCCCCTAATTCCTTTACTGTTGGTAGCATAACCCCCAAAATCAATCCCAACCTTCCTTTTGTGGTATTGAACCTTGTGGTAAAATTTCATAGAGATCCATTTACTTAAACTAAAGTAAGAGTGTGAAAACTAATGTGTCTTCGGACGACGCCAGACGATGATGACAACGACGACGACGACGACGACGCCAACGTCATACCAATATACGACCACAAAAATATTGCGGTCATATAAAAACTGCAAAATTCCTTAAAATTACCAATTTAGTAGCAGCAACCCAACAATGGACTGTTAGATTCGTCTGAAAATTTCAAGGCTGATAGAGCTTGGCCTAATGACAGTCAGGGATATAACTCTATAGGGTTATTACAGAAAAATAACATACATTTGTTATTGTGGACTAAAAAATCAAAGAACTGTGATAACATATGTATGTTACATGTTTCAAAGGGACAATATACATCATTAGTTTAGTTAAAATGTATAAAAGTTCTATTGATATTACTTTTGTCTATATATATACTTAACTATTGAAAGATATAACAGTTCATAGTTTGCCAATTTTGCATAGTACACCTATATGTTATTACAGAAAAAATACGCCTGTAATAACTAAAGGGTGTTATCACAGCTTCTCTATATCACTTCAAAGCATTTGCTCAGACATACATCATGCTTAATTACAATGTATTTTAATTTATTGTAAGAAATAATGACCAGAGCATGTAATGAGGTTCTGCGCAAGTTTCTCAGTAATTCCCAAGTGTCTTATATAATAAGTTACATTCCTTTAATAACCTAGCCTTGTTATCACAGCTAAGTTTATCCCTTAATAGCCTCGTCTCATTGATTTACCATGGTTAATCAAAAATGAATTAATTTAATTAAAAAATTAGTTATCAAGGCTATGCATTTAGTTTCTGCGCAAAGTCTCTAGAGTTCCCTAGAGCCCACTATAAAATAAATAATTTTACAAATAACAAACATATGTTATTACAGATTTAGAAAATTTAAGGAATAAAGAGTAGACAACTCATGAAAGTATCTGTAATAACACACGCAAGTTATTTTCTGTAATAACCCTATAGAGTTATATCTTTGACTGAATGAAGATTTTAACCTCTCATCAGATTTGCTCTAATTGCTTTCGTGTTTGAGATATATTAGCCAAAAACTGCATTTTATCCCTATGTTCTAATTTTAGCCACGGCGGCCATGTTTTTTGAGGAAACAGAAAATAAAACACAATCTTTATTCTAGATACCCTAAGGATCATTCAGCTTAAGTTTGGTTGGAATTGGTTCAGTAGTTTCAGAGGAGAAGATTTTCTAAAGTAATAAAACATGATAAACAAATTGTGTAAAATTGTCCTCAAAGGGCAATACTCCTTAAGCATGTTAAGGGGTCAATTGACAATTTTGGTCATATAAACTTATTTGTAGATCTTACTTTGCTGAACACATTTGCTGTTTACAGTTTATATTTATCATTGATACTATTCAAGATAATAACCAACAAGAGGCTCTCAAGAGCCTGAATCGCTCACCTGTAATTGTCTGCTTAAATCTTTCATCAGTGATTGTTTTTTTTTTCAATATATATTAAGGTTACAATCAACCATTAGATTTTATGGGCGCAGCTATTTTATGAGCATAACATGGTATTCAGAATTAAGAGTATAGCTAATCCTGATTGGTTGATATGTGCGCCCGTTATATTTTGTAATTAGAGACTTCGTGCATTCTGCATTATACCAAAGGCCAAATAAATTATTTTCCTTAGCCCTAACGGAACTGAGATGTCTTTTAAACGCTAGGATGAGACACATATTTTTAAGTGCAAAATTGATAGGAATGGGAGATAAGTACAAATTACGCTAAGAAAAGCAACCGAACCTATAATACTGTCCTAATAACTTTTCTTTAATTCTAGCAAGGTTTAGTTAAAAAAATCAACTTTCTAAAGTCTGTATCTCAAAAAAGGCTATCATTGTCGCCTATGGGGAAATTAATTATTTATTTCAATCTTAATGAATGGCTTAAAACTTCCATTGAAATGTTCTTTGTTTCTGTCATATTTTCTTCAAAATCAAAGAAATGCATTTTACCCCTATGTTTCATTTTAGCCATAGTGGCTATGTTTCTTGACGTACAAGAAAATAAGATACAAAATTTATACTAGATACTTTGAAACTCATTCAGCCCAAGTTTGGCTAAAATTGATTCAGCAGTTTCAAAGGAGAAGATTTTTTAAAAAAGCAAACTAAATGAACAAATTGTGAAAAATTGATTTTAAATTGCAATAACTCCTTAAGGGGACAATTGACAATTTTGGTCATACAAAACTTATTTGTAGATCTTACTTAGCTGAACATTTTTGCTGTTTACAGTTTATCTTTATCGTTAATAATATTCAAGATAATAACCAAAATCTGCAAAATTTCCTTAAAATTACCAATTAAGTGGCAGCAATCCAACAATGGGTTGTTAAATTCATCTGAAAATTTCAGGGCTGACAGAGCTTGGCCTAATAAACATTTTTACCTCCATCAGATTAGCTCTAAATGCTTTGGTTTTTGAGATATAAGCCAAAAATTGCATTTTACCCCTACGTTCTAATTTTAGCCATGGCGGCCATGTTTTTTTACGAAACAGAAAATAAAACACAAACTTTATTCTAGATATCCTTAGAATCATTCAGCTTAAGTTTGGTTGGAATTGGTTTAGTAGTTTCAGAGAAGAAGATTTTTTAATGTTAGAAAACTTGATAAACAAATTGTGTAAAATTGTCCTGAAAGGGCAATAACTCCTTAAGGGGTCAATTGACAATTTTGAGGATGTAAACTTATTTGTAGATCTTACCTTGCTGAACATTTTTTCTGTTCACAGTTTATCTTTTATCATTAATAATATTCAAGATAACAACCAAAAAATGCAAAATTTCCTTAAAATTACCAATTTAGTGGCAACAACCCAAAAATGGGTTATCAGATTCTGAAAATTCAGGGCTGATAGAACCTTACCTTTATATGAACACTTTTACCCTATGTCAGATTTGCTCTAACTGCTTTGGTTTTTGAGATATTAGCCAAAAACTGCATTTTACCCTATGTTCTATTTTTAGCCATGGTGGCCATGTTTTTTGACGATACAGAAAATAAAACACAAACTTTATTCTAGATACCTTAAGGATCAATCAGCTTAAGTTTGGTTGGAATTGGTTCAGTAGTTTCAGAGGAGAAGATGTTTGAAATAGTTTACACCAGACGGACGACGATGGACGCCAAGTGATGGCTAAAGCTCACCGTTCCGGAACGGTGAGCTAAAAATGCAATTCCATCAATAATGTCAACTTGTTGACAGGTCGACCTTAGTAGGTAGGCAATTTTTTGTAAACGTGTAAATGTCAACTTGTCAACCTGTCGACCTTTAAACGTAGACAATTTTTTCATGTTTGTGTAATTGTCAACTTCTCGAACTGTTGACCTTTGTAGGTAGGCCTTTTTTTTTTATCAATGTCAACTTGTCAACCTGTCGACCTTATTAAGGAGACAATTTTTGTTAGTGTTGAGGCAAACAATTTTATGTTTAAATTGTGGATCTTAGGTTTATATTAACTGTATCACTCAAATATCTATAAATAATAGTCCGCAAGGAACTATATGTCTGTATAATCCAGTTGACCTCAGTTATCCACATACAATTGGGAATTTTGTTATATCATGAATTGAAAAAATTACCATTTTATTTTCCTGTTTTTCATATCAGACATCAATCAATAGTTTTCAAATAACATGCATAAGTGGTTTGCGACTATTACTTTAGTAAACTGAACCAAATTTTATGCTTGGTAATCTAATAACTTCTCAAAAACAATATACTTTGGTCAGTGACAAATTGAGATGTATTCAATATATTGCCATCAGATTATTGTTAATCCAAGGTTAAGATGGTTTGCAACAAGCTGATATTTAACTGGGAATGTACAGATGAACCATATCAGTCAATTTAACTATCAACAAGGACCATTCAGTAACTTGGAAGAAGAAGAACAGCAATAAAAGTTTTTTTTCTCTTTATCGAAAAAAATTATATCCCCAATATATCCTTGGAATCTTGTCTCATGCAATTCAAACAATATCTCTTTTCTCTAACTAATTTATCATAATGTATTTACCATCAGTATTTTTCAGATCATCTGGTTTAACAAATACATATCTTATATTGTCATTGCTGTGGAAAATGTACTCCATCATATCAGAGTTCCCAGAAACTACAAAGTAACTGTATGCAATTGTGGTTGACAAACAATCCCTTGGAATAGATATCGATCTTCCAACTTCATAATTTCCATTTGAAAGTTTTCTGAAATCAAGCATTACATTTGGATTAAAACCAGTTTCTATCAGGGAGGAAAACCTGTAATTACTTAACATTTAGTTTTTGTAGTTTACTTTAGAATTTCAAGAGTATCATTTAAGGCACATAAATTAGTCAGGTATTAATCCCATAGAATATATATACTTTATATAATACCCCCAAAAATAACATTATACTGTAACCATGCTATCTGGGTAGTTTAATTTGTATTTGATGTATTATAAACTTTATAATGTTCTGTCACTGACCATAAAAAGCCTTATCTGCGACATGAACAATGTTTCCACAGAATTTTATTTATTGCGTAACAAACATGACGAAGAAATATAGGTTTGTTGAATTTTAACTTATTCCACTTCATATTCAAAATCATGTTGAGTTTTGAGCATTGCAAGTTGGGAATAACGATACTTTGTCTCCAATAACAAGAGGCTCTCAAGAGCCTGAATCGCTCGCCTGTATTTCAGAGGAGAAGATTTTTAAATGTTAGCAAACTTGATGAACAAATTGTGTAAAATTGTCTTTAAAGGGCAATAACTCCTTGAGGGGTCAATTGACAATTTTGGTCATATTAACTTTTTTGTAGATCTTACATTGCTGAACATTATTGCTGCTTACAGTTTATATATATCTATAATAATATTCAAAATAATAACAAAAAACTGCAAAATTTTGTTAAAACTACCAATTCGGTGGCAGCAACCCAACAATGGGTTGTTCGATTCGTCTGTAAATTTCAGGGCCAATAGATCTTGACCAATTAAACAATTTTACCCCATGTCACATTTGCTCTAAAAGATTTAGTTTTTGAGATATAAGCCAAAAACTGCATTTGACCCTTATTTTCTATTTTTAGCCATGGCGGCCATGTTTGTCAATGGATACAAACTTCGGATACAATTTACAAACAAGATACCCTAAGGAACATTTAGTTAAACTTTGAAGGTAATTGGCCCAGTAGTTTCAGAGGAGAAGGTTTTTAAATATTAGCAAACTTGATGAACAAATTGTGTAAAATTGTCTTTAAAGGGCAATAACTCCTTGAGGGGTCAATTGACAATTTTGGTCATATTAACTTTTTTGTAGATCTTACATTGCTGAACATTATTGCTGCTTACAGTTTATATATATCTATAATAATATTCAAAATAATAACAAAAAACTGCAAAATTTTGTTAAAACTACCAATTCGGTGGCAGCAACCCAACAATGGGTTGTTCGATTCGTCTGTAAATTTCAGGGCCAATAGATCTTGACCAATTAAACAATTTTACCCCATGTCACATTTGCTCTAAAAGATTTAGTTTTTGAGATATAAGCCAAAAACTGCATTTGACCCTTATTTTCTATTTTTAGCCATGGCGGCCATGTTTGTCAATGGATACAAACTTCGGATACAATTTACAAACAAGATACCCTAAGGAACATTTAGTTAAACTTTGAAGGTAATTGGCCCAGTAGTTTCAGAGGAGAAGGTTTTTAAATATTAGCAAACTTGATGAACAAATTGTGTAAAATTGTCTTTAAAGGGCAATAACTCCTTAAGGGGTCAATTGACAATTATGGTCATATTAACTTTTTTGTAGATCTTACTTTGCTGAACATTATTGCTGCTTACAGTTTATATATATCTATAAATATATTCAAAATAATAACAAAAAACTGCAAAATTTTGTTAAAACTACCAATTCGGTGGCAGCAACCAAACAATGGGTTGTTTGATTCGTCTGAATTTCAGAGCTGATAGATCTTGACCAATTGAACAATTTAACCCCATGTCAGATTTGCTCTAAAAGCTTTAGTTTTTGAGATATAAGCCAAAAACTGCATTTGACCCCTATGTTCTATTTTTAGCCATGGTGGCATGGCAATGTTTGTCGATAGATCAAAACTTCGGATACACTTTATAAACTAGATACCCTAAGGAACATTTAGTTAAAGTTTGAAGGTATTTGGCCCAGTAGTTTCAGGGGAGAAGATTTTTAAAATAGTTTACGACGACAGACGACGACGACGACGGACGCCAAGTGATGGCATAAGCGCACATGGGGCCCTTTGGGCCCCGGTGAGCTAAAAAATTGAATTATCAATCTGCTTAAAACAAAATAGAAATGCTAGACTCACATTTCTGCTCCTGTCTTATACTTGAACATGTACAAGTATTTTATTATCCTAGGCAACATACGAATTAAGAAATAATTCATGGCAGTTATAGATTTGTTTTCATTTAACCATGTGTTAGGCATATATATTCGACTATTTTATCCTGAGCAATGGCTCGTTATATCAGAATTTTATAAAATCTGACCAATACCATTTTCAAACTAAATTTACATAGTTTCAGTATTTATAGATATAAGAAGATGTGGTATGAGTTTATACTTACTTAACAGGAAACAGATCATGTTTTTTGCAAGTCCATCCACCAAGCCTATCTAAGGCAAACCTGACATAAGCAGTACAGCTATCATTATAGATCGATGAATGCATAATTGCATGAAAGAAAACATCAAAAGATGAAGCATTTGTAGATTTTCCTAGTCCTCTGTTTGGGTGGCTTTCTACAGACCTATCAATTAAAAGAAAGGAGTTGGTTCACTAACTCATAATTTTGGCCCTAAAAAATCTGAAATTTTTTCACTACGAAAATATGTTGAAAATTTGATGAAGACATATGCTAAAATGTCCAAAAGTTTTGCAGCAAAAAAGATTTTCACCAATTATGTCATTAGTGATGTATTTGTGACATCATAAGGTACATGAATTTCGTAAAATCATGATTTTTTGCAGATTTCTGCAAAATTTATGACAGTTTTATGAAAAATTAACAACAGCGCCACCCTCGCCCACAAATGTTTTTGCTGAAATATTCTTTATACGCCATACTCTTTACTTTTCAACAAAAATTTTAATGGGCAAGGGGTGGCGCCACATATAAAGTCATGAAATACGGTTGAAAAAGTTTCTAAGAAAATGGATGAAAATGAAATCTTTTCCTAGTTTAGGCTAATATCTATAAAAATATGAAGCAGATATACAACTTTTTCTTATTATACTTTCAAATATCATACATCTAGCAGTACATACACATTAGATTCACATTGATAATTAAAGTTTTTAAAAAACGCGGCTACAGGGCCATTGATTGGGGTTCCTGGCTCTACTCCTTTGAAAACTTAATAGATTTTTTTATGCATAAACTGAAGAACAAAGGGACTTTATCTTCATTTCATTCTTTTAAAATTTGAAGTTGCTTTAAAACGGTGTATTTTAAAGATGATGCTGGGTATACTCCAATCAGACTGCAACCCAATAACACAATAAGCCATAAGTCATCTAAAGAACTAGATATTAAAAAAAAAAAACTAAACAAATGCCATTCTAGCATAAAATGTACTTAAAAGGTAAACTAGTATTCTGCTACTATCCCAAAAGTGTCTAATAAAACACAAATTTCTCTTTGACACATCATTCTTTAGATAATAAACCTTACCTATTAACTTAACCAGTTATTTATCCCCAAAAAGGGTTAGGTGAAGCAATAATAACTTATACATTCATTATAATGTGCATTGACAAAATATGATTCATCTGAATTTTAGTTGCTTTAATTTGGACCTCAACATAAAACCAATAAAATAAGTAATAGATAAAACCAAATTCTGCTATGTGTGTGGAGTTAATACAAATATGGTAGCTAATGATGGGTTATTTTTATAACATAAATACCTTCCTTCAACTCCATTCTTAGCATTTCTTTTCTCAGATTCCTAGAATACATTATTTTCATTAAAACATTGGACAGCAAATTTCTTCAGTCATTATAATCTAAACTGTTATTATCCTTAGCTGTACAACTTTTATCTAAAAACTCTAAACAAGGATACCCATCCAACAATTCATAAATTTTTTTTTTAAACCAAAAAAACACTTATATATCTCTCACTTATTTTTCACATGCTTCATGATTCTGTATTGATTTTGGTAGGACTCGTGTTGATCAGTCTTTGGTTTTCTAATTTGTGTTTTGACTACTGTTGTTTGTCTTTTGACCATCATTTTTTTTTTTGCTACGATATTGTCAATTTGTTTTTGACTTATGTGTTTGAATGTCCTTTTGGTATCTTTTGCCTCTCTCTTATCAAGGTCAACCTTGGAAACAAAACATGAGTTAATAAGCAGCCAAAGTTTTTGAATCACTGAATGAAATATTTTTTGTAGAGATGATACATAACGGGTTAGTAATAAATGTAAAATAACTACACAGAGGACGTAGTTTGGTATATATGCAGGCATTGGTTCAATGATTTCCTTAAATACTATTTCCTGTCCATTTGAACTTCAAAAAATATTTTTTGATGTATGTTATAAATCATGTCGGGGGCGAATCTCTGATTGAAGCTATTTTCAAGAATTTTCTTTTATGATTTCTAATCTCAAGTACTATTTACTCCACTGACATTATTTTTTTAAGACGAGTAGGAAGAAAATAAATGGGGAATGTGTCCATGGGACACATATGATGCCCCCGCTTGCATATCATATAAAGTTATAAAAGGACATAACTGAAGAACGGTAAAAGTGACGCTACCAAATTTGTACTTGATCTGAGTTTTGTGTCTAAGTTTCATGAAATCTGGTTGAGGCAAACTTAAGTTAGAGAACGGAAACGAAAAATTCAGCAATTTTTCCTTTGTAAAGGGGCATAACTCTAGAACGGTTAAAATGACGCCACCAAAATTCAATTTTGATCTGTGTTTTGTGGTAATCAGCATTGTTTATAAGTTTCATAACAGTTGGTTGAGGCAAACTAAAGTTAGAGAACAGAAACGAAAAATTCAGCAATTTTTCCATTTGTAAAGGGGCACAACTCTAGAACGGTTAAAGTGACGCCACCAAAATTCAAACTTGATCTGTTTTTTGTGGTAATAAGCATTTTGTATAAGTTTCATAACATTGGTTAAGGCAAACTAAAGCTAGAGAACGGAAACCAACTTTGGGATGTACAGATGGACGTAAGGAGGGAGGGACGTACGGAAGGACAAGGGTAAAACTTAATGCCCCTCCGCTACCGCAGGGGCATAAAAAAAGGCATCCTAAACTTATATCATTGACTTTGCCTAGAAAAATAGAAAAAAACAGATTATCAATAGGCTTTCAAAACTGTCGCTTTCCATGAAATTGAAGTCAATAAACTCTGTCTAGTTTGAAGAACCATAGATAATCTACAATAACAGTGTTGATAAAAATAAGGATCTACTAGCAGTGGTTCCCATCAAAATTGCAGATGACACTGGCACAAATATAACTAACTATACTAATGATCATTTATTAAAAGAGTGCACACGCTGAAATGTCCTGCCTTCTTTACTAATCATTGATATTATGTTGATAGTTCTAAATATAAAGCCTTACTACAACTATCACATAAACTTAACATGATCCAAGAAAATGAGGTCAAGGTCATATAAAACAAACAAGAAATACATGTTCACCTTACAATCATTCAATACACTAAATATAGTTGACCTATTGCTTATAGTTTCTAAGATACAGACTTAACCAAGAAAACTAAACATTGACTAATGAACCATGAAAATGAGGTCAAGGTCAGATGAACCATGCCAGGCAGACAAGTACAGCTTGCAATCCTTCCATACAACAAATATAGTTGACCTATTGCTTATAGTAATAGAAAAACAGACCAAAACACAAAAACAGACCAAAACACAAAAACTTAACACTGAGCTATGAACCGTGAAAATGAGGTCAAGGTCAAATAAAACCGGCCAGACTGACATGTACATCATAAAATATTTCCATACACCAAATATAGTTGACCTATTGCATATAGTATTAGAAAAAAAGACCAAAGCTCAAAAATTTAACATTGACCACTGAACCATAAAAATGAGGTCAAGGTCAGAAGACACCTGCCAGCTAGACATGTACACCTTACAATCATTCCATACACCAAATATAGTAGACCTATTGCATACAGTATAAGAAAAACAGACCAAAACACAAAAACTTAACTATAACCACTGAACCATGAAAATGAGGTCAAGGTCAGATGACACTTGCCAGTTGGACATGTACACCTTACAGTCCTTCCATACACTGAATATGCTAGACCTATTGCTTCTAGTATCTGAGATATGGACTTGACCACCAAATCTTAACCTTGTTCACTGATCCATGAAATGAGGTCGAGGTCAAGTGAAAACTGTCTGACGGGCATGAGGACCTTGCAAGGTACGCACATACTAAATGTAGTTATCCTATTATTCATTATAAGAGAAAAATTAACATTACAAAAAAACTTTTTTTTCAAGTAGTCACTGAACCATGAAAATGAGGTCATGGACAATGGACATATAACAGACTGAATCTTCGTAACATAAGGCATCTATATACAAAGTATGAAGCATCCAGGTCTTCCACCTTCTAAAATACAAAGCTTTTAAGAAGTTACCTAACTCTGACGCCGCCGCCTAATCACTATCCCTATGTCGAGCTTTCTGCGACAAAAAACATACCTGTTCTTTGTTCCCGGCTTTGTTTTCCTTTTCTTTCATTGCTTTGGTAGTAGATCGTGTGATTCTTTTAGAATTTTCTTTTTCTCCTGGTTTATCTTCTGAATGTGAAATCTCTTTGGTCTTGCTTTCAGAAACCTTCAAAGGTTAAACAAGAATGGATATACGGAAGACATCATGACCAAACGTAATTATAATGAGGGCATTGGACTTATAAAACATACAGACATTATTTCTTGACTTATAATACTTAATGTGAATCAATTATCTCTAAGAATGAGGTCCAATAAAGTTATTAATAAAAGTGTTGGATAGCACCTGTGGAAAGTTTGCAACGGTAGATGTGTATTATTTCAAATAGGTTGTAGATGTGTATTATTTCAAATATGTATTTAATCACAGCTTTGGTGTTTTTTCCTTAAACCATTGTCTCATCAGCAATTATCAACAAGAGTGCACACGCTGAAATGTCTTGCTTTCTTTACTAACCATTGATTTTATGTTGGTAGTCCTAAATATAAAGCTTTACTACAAGTATCACATAAACTTAACATGATCCAAGAAAATGAGGTCAAGGTCAGATAAACCAAACGACAAATACATGTACACCTTACAATCATTCAATAAACCAAACATAGTTGACCTATTGCTTATAGTTTCTAAGGAACAGACTCTTAACCAAGAAAACTTAACATTGACCAATGAACCATGAAAATGAGTTCAAGGTCAGATGAACCATGCCAGACAGACATGTACACCTTACAATCAATTTATGCATTAAATATAGTTGACCTATTGTTTATAGTATCTAAGAAACAAACTTAACCATGAAAACTTAACATTGACCAATGAACCATGAAAATGAGGTCAAGGTCAGATGATACCTGCCAGACAGACATAGACACCTTACAATCCTTCCATACAACAAATATAGTTGATTTATTGCTTATAGTTGAAGAAAAACAGACCAAAACACATAAACTTAACACTGAGAAATGAACCTTGAAAATGAGGTCAAGGTCAAATAAAACCCGCGAGACTGACATGTACATCATAAAATATGTCCATACACAAAATATAGTTGACTTATTGCATATAGTATTAGAAAAAAAGACCAAAACTCAAAAACTTAACTTTGACCACTGAACCATGAAAATGAGGTCAAGGTCAGATGACACCTACCTGTTGGACATGTTCACCTTACAATCATTCCATATACCAAATATAGTAGACCTACTGCTAATAGTATCTGATATATGGACTTGACCACGAAAACTGAACCTTATTCACTGATCCATGAAATGAGGTTGATGTCAAATGAAAATTGTCTGACGAGCATGAGGACCTTGCAAGGTACGCACATACTAAATATAGTTATCCTATTACTCATAATAAGAAAGAAATTAACATTACAAAAAATGTTGACATTTTTTTCAAGTAGTCACTGAACCATGAAAATCAGGTAAAGGACAATGGACATATGACAGACGGAAACTTCGTAACATAAGGCATCTATATACAAAGTATGAAGCATCCAGGTCTCAAAGCTTCTAAAATATAAAGCTTTTAAGAAGTTAGGTAACAATGCCGCCGTAGCCGCCGCAGTTGCTGCTGCCGTTGGATCACTATCCCTATGTCGAACTTTCTGCGACAAAAGTCACAGGCTTGAAAAAAATCACTTTTTTTAATTTCTATTGCGACTTAAACTGTAGATTTAAAATAATCAAATATACAGAAAGCTCTGTTAATTTCTTTCTGTGCCCATCCCATGTAAAGGGCCTGTAGATAAGTATTTTTTATTGATTAAGTTCCTTCATATTTGTTTTTAGTAAATTGTATTATTACTAATTAAGCAGTTAGTTTTCTTGTTTGAATTGTTATATATTGAACAAACTCGGACTACGATTAGTAGATTGTGTGGTCAACGTTTTTTTCCGACTTTTAAAATTTTTTACTTAATACAAGAAATAATTGTAACAGGATGCTGTTACGATGTCTCCTAAACAAAGCTCCCATAGTGAGCCATTCCCATGGTCGCCTGACATTGGGCAAAGTCCAGAAAGTCCAGTAAAGTGATATGCATAAGTAACCCTGTATCTCATTCAAATCTTCTTGAAATCATGAACAGGAATATAAAATATATATGGTTAAGGGGTGGGGATCTCGACCGTTTACAAGTTCTCAAAAAAGGGGGGGTTGATTCTCAGGGGACTCTTTATTTGATTTGATTTGTTTTATTGTCCCTTACAAGAATATATATGGTTTTGGGGTGGGGATCTCGACCGTTTACAAGTTCTCAAACAGGATGGGGTGGAGGTGACCCCCAGGGACACCCCCTATATTTCATTTAATTAGTTTTATTATCCCGTACATGAATAAATATGGTTTTGGGGTGGGGATCTCGACCATTTACAAGTTTTCAAAAAGAAGAGGGGTGGGGGTGACCTCCATTAACTTCCCCTATATTTCATTTGATTTGTTTTATTGTCCCATACAAGAATATATATGTTTTTAAGGTGGGGATCTCTTCTGTTTACAAGATAAAAGCTCATTCTCAAATTGAAGGGGGGGGGGGGTGACCCCACGGACTCAACCTATATTTTATTTGATTTGTTTTATTGTCCAGTGATCATTACAGAAGACCGCTTGTATCTATCACTTACTGTTTTCAAGTTATAGTCATTTGAAAATTTAAAAAATTAAAATCCCATAGGGTTCTTTAGTAAATCCCTCCCGTCTGTAGGCCCCTCAAAATACCCATAAATAGACCCCAAGAAGAAAAATAATAAGAATTGAGCAAAAACAATAAGTCTCAAAACTTTGTTTGGGAGACTTAATAACAAATAGTATATACAAATTTTGTTATAGTCTGATTTTGTAATAGGCCGAGTTTGTTATAGTCCGAGTCTGTTATAGGCCGAGATGAGATACCAGGTTACTTTCGATACACTCGGGCTTTTACCTCTTTAATAAACATTTGTAAAAATCGTAGTAAAAATAGCGTCGAAAAATGTTCATTCATGAAATATTTTAAACACGGTATTTATTTTCTCTTCAACCGGAGGATGGAAGGAAACCCCTGAAACTGGGATTATTGTACTCCCGTTGGGAGGTACACATATATGGATCTCACGCATGTCTGGGGAATACTGATAAAAGCATAACGTAGAAACTGCTGTCTCGTGTAGATGTGTATTGATTTTAATTTCTGAGCAGCGCAGAACCGCGAAGTAGTGTTTGTGATAGCCATTTTCAAAATGAAGTTGAATTCATTTGAATTGTCGGTGAACATTCAGTCCATTTTTATTCAAGCTGTAAGCTAATCAAAATAGAAGTAACTCAAAAATTCAAGAGCATCTTCCTAAAATTAGTATTCAATCACTAGTACTACATTATCTAGGAGTAGAACACACATCCTATAGTAAGATAGTCTGTCCAACTTCCGGTTTGAGGCCCATGCCTTAGGAAAGTATATTGCTATAGCAAGCTATAGCAAACTTTCCAAAAACATGTTGCCAAAGTCATACAATAATAAATTCTAATAAAACAACAGAGTTCCAATGTACCGCACGTTGCACATATTTTATCTGTCAAGGGACAATAACTAAAAATTTTATCTAAAAAAAAATGAAGGCTTGAGAGCCAATGCATAGCAATTTCAGATAATCCCATAATTAATATTTTCAAAGAACATAATTCTTTTTAACATATTTGATCGGAAGCGATTTTCAAAAATCCAAGACATTGCTGGTACATATAAACCTAATAAAAATCTAGCAAAAATTGTACACCCGAGACCCTTACAATTTTCCTTATAATTGATCAGCACTTATTTTCAAACTTGTCCGAGACATTGCTGATATAAATCTAAGTTATAATATTCATAAAAATCTGGCAAGAATTGTACACATGAGAGCACTAACAATGCAATTTTCCATATAGTTTATCTTCCAAGGGGCACAACTCTTAAAAATTGTCGATTGGCACTGATTTACAAACTTGTGCAAAACATTGCTATTAATTAGCTTATGATATGTGTTTCATAAAAATCTGGCAGGAATTGTACACATGATAGCACCAACAATGCGTTGTGCGGGGGTTAATTTGAAAGGGGGGGGAGAAAAAATTTACCATCAACACTGATCAATGACGCTTGATAATAATGTGATGAAGTTCATCTTCCGACTATTTCATAATAAAATAAACAGCTGTGCCAAGGACACATGATACACCTATCTAGAGCATATTGAAATTGTTGCAATAATATAATGCAATATTTAGAAGGAAAATAATCAGATGTCAGAAAAATGGCTCTGTAAAAAAACTTGGAACTAGGATATCCCTAGGCATATAAATATTGCCTTAAATATGACGGCTAAAAGTCCCATATCTCTGGAGTGACTTGCCTGGAAGTGTTCAAAATCAAAAGCAAGTGTATATTCACCAATTCCAATATATCAGGGTAAAGTTTTTTATAATTTGAACCAAGCATACTATAGCTAGACTGAGTGCATAACATGTGAAAATTTGCCATAAAGCTGGCTGGTTTTTTTTAGTATTACTGAAGTGGTTACATTGTGTACTGGTTTTACAGGCATACATATCATATATATCTAAGAACCATTTAGCCCATCATTGATACAAATGTGATCAGTGGTCTCAGATAATATTTTTCAAAAAGATTGTTATTTTGAAAGTCAAAGGATACCATGAAATGGCAAGAGTTCATGAAGCCTCAAACAGTTAAAAATAAATGGAGAATGTGTCCATGGGACACAGATAATGCCCCCACTTGGATATAACATTATAAAGCGACATAACTCAAGAATGGTAAAAGTGACGCCACCCAAATTCAGACTTGATCTGTGTTGTGTGGTAATAAGCATGACGTATAAGTTTCATAACATGTGATTTAGGCAAACTAAAGTTAGAGAACAGAAACCAATTTCGGGATGTTCAGATGGACAAGGGTAACACTTAATGCCCCCTCCGCTGCGGCGGGGGCATAAAAATAAAATCAAAATTTTTTCATTCGAATCAATTCAAAAAATAGCACCCTCTCCTGATCAAAACCAAAGAGTGAATTTTCTCATGCATGCAGATATCCAAAAGTCATGGTTAAATGCATACATCACTGTTGTTATTCTCTGCATCTGTATTATTCGTTGTATTGGTAGTGGCTTCTTGTCCTTTCTTTGTTATATCAACTTCATCTGTTATACTGGAATTAGAGTTATCTGGAGGTGGGTCAACACTGCTTCCAGATTCTTGTATTCCATTGTTTTCACCATTGCTTCTACCAGACTGTTTAAGTAAAAAGCTACTGTTGCATTTAAAATGTTCTCCAAATCAAGAGAATTAAGAGATTATTTTTAAATGATCTATGAATAGCTGTATAGCTCATGCTGATCCTATGTTTTCAATCTTTACATTAGAAATTAAAGATAACATCCAAGTTGTACATCAGGGTTAATAGGTATTCAGTTTGTTAAATGTCTACATGTTTGAATATAAATTCTGTAGACGTTTATTATACTAATATTCCTGTGGTATAATAATTTGAGTGTTGTCTTCAATTTCTATATTTTAGAACTTTTGGACTCTAGAATACCATACACATTTCTGTATTATTTTAATGATAATTATTTAACCTAATTCAATTGTTATTTCAAAAATTTCTAGGATGTTTTTATTATTTAGAAAATCAGGAAGTGGAAAGTCTCTTAAAAATACATTGTTTTTTTGTTCTGAAACAAATATGAAAGACAATTTTAAGATACAAGTTCTTGATGATATTTTCCCTGATGCATTAAATACTTACAAATGCTTCATCATTAACTGACTCAGCAGGGTGTTGATCTGAAGAAGCATCAGATGTTTTTTCACAGTGTTTGTTATCACCTTCTTCTTGAACTCCATACTTATCCTTTGTTTCTTCATCTGTATTCTATAGAAATATAGTTTTTATTACATTAAGTTGTAGTATTGCTATTGAAAAACAATCTGAATTTAATGATTAAGGTACATACCTGCTCCAATATAATGGAGGTTTACTGCTAGCAATGTTCTGAAGTTAAATCATTTAATTAAAGAGATTTGCACTGCACATTAGTGCACTAAAAACGTGCAATTTTGTAGTTGTATTACTAAGTTGCAAAATGTATAAAAATAACACAAGACCAAGGGCAAGGACTGATTTAACACTTCACATTTTTAATTATCAAAACTAATGTACTAATGCCACCAGTCATTTTAAACGCCTCTAGATGAGTTATTTTTTGTATAAAATGTGCATAATATAAGGATAAAAACTTCAACTTTTGTTTGTGTTGAATAAGAGTGCAATTATTGCTTCATTTTAATGGATTTGATTTGATTTGATTGATTGGTGTTTTACACCACTTTCAACACTATTGTGCTATTTCGTGGCGGTCAGTTTTTATTGGTGGAGGAAGCCGGAGTGCCCGGTGAGAACCACCGACTTCCGGTAGGAAAACTGACAATCTTAGTCAATTAAGATTGGAGTCGAGTGCACCTGCCCTGTGCGGGACATTTTAATGGAAATCATTGGATTATACATAGTACCTTTTGTATATCAGGATGAGTTTTTTCATAAAAAGTATGTGAATAATATTGGAGAATTAATGATATCTTAAATTTTGTTCTTGTTGAAAGAATTGCAATTATTTCTTCATTTTAATAGAAATCATAAAATGTCATTTAATATATAATTGTTTTCTGTACATCGAGATAGGTTGTTTTCCATAAAAATGGGATGAATGTTAGAAAAGCTACATATTTTTTCTGTATATATGTAGCCTTTTCAATAGTCGTCTGGCGCGAAAAGGACGATAACTCAATTTTAGAATTTAATATTTTCGGAGACGGTCAATTTCCGGAATTGCATGCTTTATCAATAATCACGGTTTTTTCTTTGGCCGTCGATGACGACCCTATTGCTGCATTCTTTGATAATAAGGTATATTTAACAAGACAGTATTATCAATGTATTATCGTGGTATCAATATATGTTAGCAATGTTAGATACCTGAATTAATTGTTATTTTGGCAAGGACAATTGATCACTTCCCCTGAAAACATGATTTTGTACAAGTTCACTTATCGGCATCTCCAGGCGGCAAAGCAGATCAATTTCCTGATGATTTTTACTACGGCATTCTGATTTTAATTAATTGCTACATATTACCGCTTTTTTTAAATCAATTTTTGTTTATATTATCAACAAATAAGAGTAACATATACTAGGTCGAGTTGTCGTTCGTAGTGTATAGTTTGTTCCAAACCAGTGTACACTGTGTTTCTTGTCAGGTTGGCAGTTGTTTATTAACAATAAAGTTGTTGCAACTAAAACACATGTTTTCTTCAGTGTGTTTTTTTTTTCTAATTAGTAATTGTTTATAAAACAAATTGTTTCTAAATACATTTGGCAGATAGGATTATCATGTAATTGTTATTTCCCTTGTTTAAAAAATAGAAATTGCGTGTTTCTATATTTAACGATTTACATGACACTTATTCAGTACATATTTGTTAAATTGAATAGATATTGCTATTTTGAATTCATTTGTTAAAGATACTTATTTAGGTTCTAAAGTTTAGTTTTTGCATCCTTGCTAATCATTTATAACCTTCGTTGAAAGACTTAATCATTTTATATAAGTTGTTTGGAATTATAATATTGAAATAATTACTTTAAAAACATTATAAGGCGCTTTGCAGGGCTGACTAGGCGAAGGCTATATAGCCATTCAAGGTGTTTTTAAACTTCCATCATCATGGATGAATTGTCTGTGGACTGACGTTCAGTCCAACCATAGGAAGCTGTGCTCTTCCAAAATCTCCCTACGAGGTTAGTGCATCTGCCATAGTCGTTCTTAAAACAGATAATTATTGCAGTCATTCAATGCTCCATTACTTTTGGTCTAGATGATACAAATTGTACTTATTGAATAAATTATATATTGTTTTCATTGTTTTTTTTTTTCTTGTTTTTTTTTCTTTTATTTTGATAGCACTATTACATTAGGCATCAATCGGTCTTCTTATTTATCAGTTCACAAACTAGAACAAGCTGTGGTCCGCATCCCCTGCAGAATTGCTCCTTCTACATACTTGACCCCCAACCCCTCTTCTTTTTTGGCTATCAGTAAGGGGGTGGACAGGGAGCATTGATTCCCAGTTCCCTCCCCAAACTCCTACTTCACTCCATATTCTGTTCCTCTGCACTCCTATTTTTTCGTCAACATGAACTATCCCAGTTTTAACAACCCTTTCCTCACGGTTAAATCCACCCTGACTCCAGCTGTCATCTATCCAATTCCCATTTCCAGCCCTCTCATTCCATAGTTCCCATAATTATGTCCACCCCCTTATCAGTGTCACAATGACTCGCACCCATTAACAACCCATCATTTGGCCACAAAATATATTATACTATCTGATTTGTTTCCTATATGCAAAAATAACGAGTCAGGACTTTTGCTTTAATAATAGCCATTTTTTTTTAACACATCTCGTTTTTAACTCCCATGCGTATTTTTTACTGTCAACTATATATATGGCCTCAACGCATACAAGAACAATACAAAATATCTCTTCACAAATTTGTTGTCAAAATAATAAAAATGTACTCTTTCAATAAATATTCTTGCAATAAATTCATGGTCACTTTTAAAATTTACCCTATAATGAATCTTTTTTTTTTAAATCCACAAAGATTACATAGCAAATAAATATAAAGGGTTTTTATTAAAGTTTACTTTGCAGTTCCAAAGCGAGGAACTAATTATAAAACATGGGTAAGCAAACTAAATACCTAGAAGATGTTTTAAAAAATAGACTATAGTTGATGAGATAACTCCTCATGTAACAAGATTTATCTCTCGTGATTAAAACACATTAAGATTGAGATTGAATTGTCTCCCTTTGATAACAGCCAGTACCAAAGCACAATTATTTTTTTTGTGATTTTTTATTGATTAACAATAGTTAAATAAAAGAAAAAGGATAATACTTTCAATTTCGAGGTCTCACAAAAACATTTTTACCTGTTATTATAATTTTACATTAAAAACCAAAATTTAGATGAAAAGGCTAATATATGTAGTACATGTATGTCCATATTTCTTTATCTTATTGAAAATCATTCACCAATATTTGCAATGTTAGATTCAATTTATAGTATACTTGATAACAAACATGTGTAGTAAGTTAAATGTTGATGCAATCACAAACTACCTTAAACTAACACTTTAACTTCATATAGGATGGATGGACTAATGGACAGACAGACAGAAGTATAGACTGGAAAAGATTATACCCCACTACTACAACAGGCGTGGTATATAAATGTTGAATTCATTCATTTCTGTGAATATTTCAAAACTTTAACTCACAAGTGTTTGAACATAAGCAATCAGAAATACCAAGGCATCAGGTATTCATAAGTTATAATCTGCAACACTGCAGAGGATGAGGAGACAAAAGTAGTAGGTAATGATGACAAAAAAACCTACTTTTGCATTGTCACAATTGTCTTCTTCTCCTTTAATCTTCTTTATCTGTCCTCCATTCTCTTCAGCTTTTCTTTTAGATGGTCTTTCATTATTTTTGTCTTCTCCATCTTTCACAGATTCAGTATCTTCTTGTTCCTTCTGATCAGCTTCTTTCTTTTTATTCTCTCTATCTTCAATAGCATCTGCAGAGAATACAAAAAAGTTGGGGGCATTTAAGATATCACATTTAAGAGATTTATGGAGGCATTGTCAATGTGTCTATTCCTGAAACCTCAAAAGCATAAAAAATTATATAGAAAACAGAAAATAAATGATAAGTTGAAGCTTCACTTTTTTCAAGTTTTATCTCTATTCAGTTTTTGCCACAGCTCTGATGGATTTACTGTCATATACTGTATGTGAATGTTCCAAACCCTGATATTTAACCTGAATTCCATTTATCTTGTTTTATTTTAATTTTCGTGTATATATTGTTAATTCCACTAAATAAAACTGTAATTTCCCTACAGTGCTTAATAGTTTCATGTCAGTAAATATTTTTATTCTGACTATAGGATATTTTTTTTAACTATTCAGGAGAAATTTCTTCAGTCATCCTCTTCATTATGGGCATACAATGCAGTTTTGATCCAATGGTGAAATTTTTACGAAAATTTCATACAAGCTATTCCACCTGGTCAATTCAAATATTTAACAAAAAAATATACCTTCATGTGCTACTTTAAGAGATAAATGGGATCAAAATTTTGATACATTTACCTCTCAGAAAAATTATGTGTTCAAGTTATGCACAAGTTAGTTAAATGGATTAAAGAGAGATTATAAATTATTAAAGTATAGAGTAATGGAATTTTACAGATGCCAAGTGATGGATGTAGGTCGCAATGAAGGCCCTGATGAGCTTAAAGGTTGCAATTCTGTAAATACAGACAATGCAATTTCCCATAGGAACTCCCTTTGCGGCTAAAACTGTGACACTTTTACTATGAAGTTTTGTGAAAAATGATATCCCAGAACGGAAAGTTTATATGCACTACTATTTTATTCAAAGGTCAAAATATAGGGCTGTGCGGCATATTTTCAACATTTATATGCCCTGAACTTCTAAGAGTTTAAACTTATACTAAAATTCTATACTACCCTTACCTCCATTTTTGGACCTCCTAAGAATTAAAATTTAGCCGCTACCATGTTTTTCTATACTGGTTACATTCCCAAGTGATGTCTCTATGAGATGAAACACAGAGATCATCAATTGGAACCAGAACGTTAACAAATTAACATACCTATGAATATTAAATATCTCCCCAAAAGAGGCGTGGTTTGAGAAACAGCTGTATTTACAAAGTGCAACCTATACAAACATTTATTCAAAAAGAAAACTCTCTAAAAACACTTTTTCTCACAACAATACTTATTTATCAGAATTATAGCCTTAAAGAAATCACTGCATATACTCTAAGTTTCCTTTTACAGTACATTTTATACCCCTACCCCTGTTTCAATTTTTTAAAGATTTTGAAAACAAGACTCTAATTATTGCCAGCTTACCCTATGTGCATGTTTTCTGACATGAACTGTCTAAAACCTGTGTGAAACTATTCTGATAACAAATTGAAAGCATTTTAGAATACTATAAATGTATTGTTTAGTAGTTAAGCATTCCAACATTCAAGATTGTACAAAGTATCCAATCCTGCCTGTGTCTCCAGTCCACATCTTACTGTATGCCTATTTGTCAATGAAAGTTCACAATTTCTGCCTCAAAAGGTCAGTTTAGAATTCTTGTCACAACAGTATCATCCCTAACCATATATCTAACATAAGTTAGTTAATATATGAACTAGAAGTGTTTAAACAAAGCCATATTTGCAAAAGTTGTATTTATGAAGATATCAGTCTGGTGCTTAAATTCACTAAAAGTTTGATTGAAATGACTGCTAACATCTGATTTTTGCATAACTTTCTAGCACAGTTATTGTTTACTTTACAAAAGACCTTTAAAATAAAAAAATCATAGCATTTTCAAGTTAAACAAGAAATGATTGTAACAGGATGCTGATACGAAGTCTCCCAAACGAAGCTCCCATAATTCGTAATTCCCAGGGTCGCCTGACATTGGGCAAAGTCCAGTGAAAATTGGTTTGGTCCAGTAAAGTTATATGCATTAATGATGCCTGGGGACTAACCCTGTATATCATTCAAATCATCTTGGCATGACAAACCAGAATATATATGGTTTAGGGGTGGGGATCTCAACCATTTACAAGATACTAGAACATTGGGGGTGGGGGGAACCCCTGGGGACTGACCCTATACCTCATTCAAATGTTCGAGACATGACGAACAGGAATATATATGGTATAGGGGTGGGGATCTCGACCATTTACAAGATATTAGAACTTTCTCAAATGGCAGGGGTCGGGATGACCCCTGGGGACTAACCCTGTATATCTTTCAAACCATCTTTGCATGAAAAACCAGAATATATATGGTTTAGGGGTGGGGATCTTGACCACTTACAAGATATAAGAACATTCTCAAATGGCAGGGGGTCGGGATGACCCCTGGGGACTAACCCTGTATATCATTCAAACCATCTTCGCATGACAAACCATAATATGTATGGTTTCGGGGTGGGGATCTTGACCACTTACAAGATATTAGAACTTTCTTAAATGGCAGGGGGTGGGGGTGACCCCTGGGGACTAACCCTGTATTTCATTTGATGTGCTTTATCATGACAAACCAGAATATATATGGTTTAGAGGAGGGGATCTCGACCATTTACAAGATATTAGAACTTTCTCAAATGGCAGGGGTCATTGCAGGGGGTCGGGATGACCCCTGGGGACTAACCCTGTATATCATTCAAACCATCTTCGCATGACAAACCAGAATATATATGGTTTAGGGGTGGGGATCTTGACCACTTACAAGATATTAGAACTTTCTTAAATGGCAGGGGGTGGGGGTGACCCCTGGGGACTAACCCTGTATTTCATTTGATGTGCTTTAACATGACAAACAAGAATATATATGGTTTAGGGGTGGGGATCTTGACCACTTACAAGATATTAGACCTTTCTCAAATGGCAGGGGGTCGGGATGACCCCTGGGGACTAACCCTGTATATCATTCAAACCATCTTAGCATAAGGAACCAGAATATATATGGTTTAGGGGTGGGGATCTTGACCACTTACAAGATATTAGAACTTTCTTAAATGGCAGGGGTTGGTGGTGACCCCTGGGGACTAACCCTGTATTTCATTTAATGTGCTTTATCATTTAGAACATTTTCAATTAAAAAGATTGTGTCTATTACAAACGGTTTTCAATTTATAATCATTTGAAAATTTTAAAAAATAAAATCCCATAGGGTTCTATAGTAAAACCCTCCTTTCTTTTTGCCCCTCAAAGTACCCCTTTATAAACCCCATTGCACAAACAAAACCCTGATTGCACCACTAGACATGTTAGTCTAACATATTGTGAAACCCTAAGTTAATCTGACAAGCGGTTTTGGAGAACGGGTGCGGACAAGTTCAAATTTAAAAGCAGCGGAAGAGGAAGAAGATGAAGAAGAAGAAGAAGAAGAATAATAATAATAATAAGAAGTGAGCAAAACCAATAAGTCTTCCCAAACTTCGTTTGGAAGACTTAATTAACTGTTTTATGACTCAGGGGTAGGCATTTTTCTCTGTTTTTTGCCCCTGGGGCCTCATAATTCCAAATTTTTTTCCCTGTTTCAAGCAATGTGGAATATTTACTACATATTTAGGATAGAACACACTATTGTAAGTTTTATTGAGGTCTTTTTGTAATTCTAGCTTGTACTTTTGTATGCCGCAGTCACAAAAAAGCACATTTAGGCGTTACGGCTTACTTTTGGGTTATCGACAGGAAAAAAACACCCCACAAAAATATTTAGGAAGGATCAATGAGTTGCAATTACTGCGAAGAGTAAATATAAGCACTTCTAAACAATTTAAATTACAAATAGGCATATATTATGAATTTATTTTGAATTCAGGGCTTTAAGTAAACCAAGCATACTGTAAACTGTGAATTTATGCTGAGTCATCATAGTTAAGGCCCAGGATTTTCTCAATCTTCATGAAATATTTATAAAACTTCATATTTGAGTTAAATTCTTTAAAATCTCTGAGATAAACCAGATTTTGTGAAATTCTGTATGTTCTATTTTTTAACCCTATATAGGTTGCAATTCTGTAAATACAGACAATGCAATTTCCCATAGGAACTCCCTTTGCGGCTAAAACTGTGACACTTTTACTATGAAGTTTTGTGAAAAATGATATCCCAGAACGGAAAGTTTATATGCACTACTATTTTATTCAAAGGTCAAAATATAGGGCTGTGCGGCATATTTTCAACATTTATATGCCCTGAACTTCTAAGAGTTTAAACTTATACTAAAATTCTATACTACCCTTACCTCCATTTTTGGACCTCCTAAGAATTAAAATTTAGCCGCTACCATGTTTTTCTATACTGGTTACATTCCCAAGTGATGTCTCTATGAGATGAAACACAGAGATCATCAATTGGAACCAGAACGTTAACAAATTAACATACCTATGAATATTAAATATCTCCCCAAAAGAGGCGTGGTTTGAGAAACAGCTGTATTTACAAAGTGCAACCTATACAAACATTTATTCAAAAAGAAAACTCTCTAAAAACACTTTTTCTCACAACAATACTTATTTATCAGAATTATAGCCTTAAAGAAATCACTGCATATACTCTAAGTTTCCTTTTACAGTACATTTTATACCCCTACCCCTGTTTCAATTTTTTAAAGATTTTGAAAACAAGACTCTAATTATTGCCAGCTTACCCTATGTGCATGTTTTCTGACATGAACTGTCTAAAACCTGTGTGAAACTATTCTGATAACAAATTGAAAGCATTTTAGAATACTATAAATGTATTGTTTAGTAGTTAAGCATTCCAACATTCAAGATTGTACAAAGTATCCAATCCTGCCTGTGTCTCCAGTCCACATCTTACTGTATGCCTATTTGTCAATGAAAGTTCACAATTTCTGCCTCAAAAGGTCAGTTTAGAATTCTTGTCACAACAGTATCATCCCTAACCATATATCTAACATAAGTTAGTTAATATATGAACTAGAAGTGTTTAAACAAAGCCAT